GGGTAAAAACATTTAATTTTAAAAACATTAGTTCATTTGTTTTCTGTGAAAATTTGTATAGTACTGGTAATAATTAGAGATCAATGTTTACAGGTTCAAGCTGTACTGCTGTGATACCACCACCAACCAGTGCTAGTGACAGGTTTGATGGTAATGATTTCAGTGGAGTCTGGGAGTTGGTGGTAGGTGGTGAGATTGGTACAAGTTGTGGTATTCTGGCAAGAGGTCATTCCATGTACTTTGGTCAAATTGGACCAAGAGAGGGCAGAACGGCTGAACTGAACACTACCACAACCAAGTAAGATTTATTTTTAAAAGAAATTGTGCAGCAGTGACCAATCTTTTAATTTTTGATTATGGTTGATAAATAATAAAAATAAATCATGGATAGTTTTTAGTCAGCCTTATGTTTTGGGTTACATGTGATTGTCCTCATTTCTTGATCATGCCTTGACTGATTTTCAACAACCCAGTCCTGTGTGTGAAGTTTCATATGGAAAATGAAGCTTATATTTCCAGTGATTCAATACAATAAATCACTAAACATTAAACTGGATCTTGAAGGATTCTTAAAAACATTACATTCAGAAACCATATCAGAAAATGAACCATATCAGAAAATAAACCATATCAGAAAATATACCATATCAGAAAATGAACCATATCAGAAAATAAACCATATCAGAAAATATACCATATCAGAAAATGAACCATATCAGAAAATAAACCATATCAGAAAATAAACTATATCAGAAAATATATCATATCAGAAAATGAACCATATCAGAAAATAAACCATATCAGAAAATATACCATATCAAAAAATGAACCATATCAGAAAATAAACCATATCAGAAAATATACCATATCAGAAAATGAACCATATCAGAAAATATATCATATCAGAAAATAAACCATATCAGAAAATATACCATATCAGAAAATATACCATATCAGAAAATATACCATATCAGAAAATATACCATATCAGAAAATCATAATCAGGAAAAGCTTTATTTGCATAAACTCAAATCTTGTGTTTCTGTATTTTGCAACAGCGCCACCAACGGCCAATTTGAGTAAAATGTCAAACAGTGATCTTCTAAACTAAAACAAACAGAAAATAATACATTTCAAAACTTTACCAGCAGAAAATCTTTGGAGCAAGTTATCTTTTTGGCCTTATGAGAAATATTTTCTTGAAAAATTACTCACCCCACCAAAAAACAGTAACCAAAAACTGAAAACAAAATTACTACCATAAAATGTTTTTATATTATTTTCTTCATTTATATGTATCTGATTTTTATTGTGTTTACAGGATTCTTCAGTTCTACATACGTATTGGCAGTACTAATCTTGGTTCGACGTGTGGGATTCCAGTGAGTAGGCAGGAAGACATCATCATACAGTATAGTAGGAACCACGGCATAACATGGCATATGTTACATCAGTTAGATGCCAAGTCATTTAGTTTAAATCCTGAGTTGGTAACTATAGAGCTACCAAGAGATGCTAAATCAGATTCTACTTCGTTTAGGTGGCTTCAGCCCTACTTACAACAAGGTTGGTCATGTGATTGATACTGATTCTTTTGATTGGTGGACAATAAAATAAATAATACCAAGAACCCCCACAGCACCATATTTAAGAAATTTAAGTGCAGTCAAAAGAAGGAAAGAACCAAACCTAATAACCCAGTCAGTCTAACTATTACACCACCAGCTCCCTCTTTTCATCACAAATTCGCAAAATAGACCTGTTTATAGTTTGCACTTTTCTTCAAAAGATTGGGACAAAATAGCCAAATTTTTTGAGTAAAAACTGAAAATTGACTCAAATTTTGTCTGTTGGCTTCAAAATTAGGGTTCATTTCCAGAAATATTGACGCATTTGGGTGAGATTAGGTGAGAAAGTCTGGTATTGAAAAGGCTAAAAAGTTCAATGTATCACACAATGCTTTATATTTCTGTTTGTGTCAGGTAGAATAGAACAGGTGATTTTCTGATCACTGCAAGATCTTGCATAATGCATGAAAGATGTGGATCGAATGTCTGCAGCAAAATTAATTGATTAAATTTCTTTTTTTTCATAATTCAATGTTAAAATCTGAACTTTCAGAGAGGAATATAGCATTGAGATGTCCTTACTTCATCAAAACTGACCATCATTGAATGTGTTTAGCACATAATTAGACTTGTAAATATATTTGTTAAATCAACACATAAAGGCAATGTACATTAGAGGAAGCTTCTCTCAGTATAAAAAAAATCCACTTTGTACCTGTCATGTAACCTTGAGTAACCATATTATAATTATTAAGAGCATCATGTTGCAAGTAAAGAATATAGTGTTTAAAAATAAGTTATGTAAGAATATTTAAAAAAAAAACAAGAAAATTAGCAAAATTATCATAAAAATACAAGAAACTGAATAGTTCATATAAACAAAAGAAACTGATTAGTTCATAAAATAAACTAGTACACAAAAAAATATTAAATACTGTAAAATCTCTAAAATTTTGCTTACTACCTAAAATTTAACAACCTAATTAAAATTAAAATTTCAACCAATCACAGTATTGTGCTTTTTCTCATTCAAAAAGTTGTCAGATTTTTTTAATTAATAAAAACTGTTGAATTGATGGTATGTTATGTTGGGGGGGGGGGGAAACTGAATGATGAACACACAAAAATAACTTACCTTTCTGAGACTCTAGCAGCGCTTCTTATTATTCAATCTTGGTTTTATACAAACAATTGTATTTCTTTGGTTTGATATGAAAGTTCAAATTTGTATTCATGTGAAGAGCTTTTCTAATCACTGCTTTTTTAAAACCAATTCAAAATTATTTTTTTGTGGTCAAAGCTTTTGTGTTTATTGTGGTGCTTCATTAAAACCAACAAAACAAAAGAAACTAAATAGTCAATAAAACAAATTCAAATGAATAGTCCATATAAAAACAAAAGCACAAATT